AGCTACAATGCTGGCACGAGCGCGTGCAATAAAGGCAGGCAGTGCGACCGAGCACTATCGCTCTTTAGTGAGATGCGTCAGGTGAAGTTGGAGCTCAATTCAAAGAGCTTCGGCATTGAGATCAACGCGTACGTGAAACGCAGACGGTGGCAGCGATCATTGGCGCTTCTTCGCGAAATGAGTCAGGCTCGAGTGGAGTCCAGCGTCTACAGCTACAGCGCTGTGATAAGCGCGCTCGAGAAAGCCAACCAGGGGCAGCGGGCTTTGGCGATATTGAGCGAGATGCGGGAGGCGACGTTGGAACCCAACGCAATTTGTTTCAGTGTCGGGATGAGCGCGTGTGAGAAACTCGGGCAATGGCTGCAGGCGTTGTCGTTGCTCAGCGAGACACGCAAGTCGAAGACAAATCCCAACAACGTCATCTACAGCGCTTTCATCAGCGCGTGCGAGAAGGGTGGGCAGCATCGGCAAGTGCTGTCGCTGCTCGGCGAGATGTGGGACGTTAAGTTGGAACCCAAACGTCAGCTCCAACATATCGACACGCGCGTGCAAAAGTAGCAGCGAGTGACAGCAGGCGCCGTCGATGCTCAGCAAGCTGTGGGAGACGAAGGAGGAGCCCGGCCGACATAGATTTGGTGCCTGGGCCAGTTCGGGCCAAATAGTTGCAACGTGGTGGGCGTTGTCCTTGCTCAGCGGGTCGTAGGAAGCCTCGGCGGAGCCCGACGTCTTCGCCCATTTCATTGGGACCAACGCGTTCGAGAGTTCAGAAATCAGTGGCAACATGCGCTGCTGTTTCTCATCCACGTGCAGAAGATGAAATTGGAGACGGACGCCGTGAACTACATTGCTGGAGGCAGCAAGTACGGCATCGGCAGACGGATGCGGCAGGTGGTGTGGAATCTCAGATAATTTCGGGATGTGGAGGCGGAGCTGAATGCCATGATTGTATATTTGGCAACGGAGTCGGCTTTTTGCACGCGAACTAAATGTGACAGCATGCATCTTGTCATCATCCAGCAAGTAATTGTAGGTGAGATTGAAGCCCAGCGCCGTTCCCCTGGATGCACCAGCGGCAGAGTATATACAGTCGTCGCCAGGTTGGCTCTGGAGGTTGAAGTTGGAAAGCAGTGCCGTTTGACTGTCAAAGCAGGCAGGAAGAGGGAGGAGGAAAGGGGAAGCGGAGGAGGAGTAAGAGAAGGAGGAGAAAAGTAAGCAGACGGAAGAAACAGATGGGAAATAAGCAGATAATAGCAATGTGAAGGGAGAGGAGCTCCAGCAGGAGGAGGAGAGGGGTACTTCTGCCGCAGCTATCGAGTTCTCGTCAAGGTTCGATGGCATCGGTGAGGGGGTGAGGAGGGAAGGCAGCGACGGGGAAGATGTCAGCGGAGTCCAGTTGGGCCTTTTCGGCTGCGTTGCAGTCGGCCGCGTTCGGTCGGTTCGATTATGTCAGTCGATGTGTCGTTGTTTCGTCCTGCTGCCTTGGCTGGCCACTCTGGCCTGCTCTTCGCGGAGCTCTTCACGTCTGAGCGATTCCCCCTCCGCCCCACGCGCGGCCGCCCTTGTCTTGCTTGCTTCGTCTCGCACGCCGGTCAATTGGCCTTCCGGCTGCCCCGAATAGCCTCACGCTGGAGCGGACTGCCTTTGCCTCGCCGCCGACGGCAAAAGTGCCGCAGCTTCATCGCAGCGCCCTGCTCTAGGCTGCTTGCGGCGTGCTGCTCTGCTGGGTACTCGGCCGCACGTCGGAGTGCTCCTTCGCTGGAGCGGCCGTCTAAAAGCACGGCTTCTCCGGGGTCAGCGGGGAGGCCAAGCCCGAGCCTTATGATGTTCCAAGTTACTTCAGTCTTGATCACCCAGAAGAATTTCGAGCACCAAGAAAGTACCGAATCTTTGAGGGATTTCACGTGTCGACACTGTTTCGATGCTTTTCTGGGTGCTCGAAAGTATTCCTGGGATGTGGTCCTTACGTACGATGGGAGCAGCATAACCCGAGCCGCACTCCGTGCACACACGAGCAGGGCGATGAAAACCTTGGCTTGGCCACGGGGGGCGCTTGCACCGACGACGGGCCCAGGGCTGGCCTGGCCAGGGGCGGTGCATGTCGTATGGACCTGGGCTCTGGGCCCACGCTTGGAGGAGGAAGAGGGACCGATACCGCTAGCCCTCGTTTCCGCCGCCGGATTCGCTTCGAAATCCTGGTCAGAGCGCGCCCCGGGAGAAGTCCCGGGAGCAGCGGTACGGTATCTTTTGGTTTCCCTTCTCGCCCCCCCTCACACCGCCCCCCGAGGTGGGATGGGTCCTAGGCCGCCCCCCCTGCCTCAGATGGCATGCCCCCCCCCAGATGAGGAATGGGGGATGGGGGAGGGGGGTGGGGACGACAACGAGGACGACGACGATGATGACGATCTTGACAGGGGGCGACCTCCATCGACTCCATCGTTGGGGGGGGCACCACACCACGCCCACGTGGTGGGTGGGGGGGTTATTGCGTGCGGGGGGTCCGACGGCATCAGCATGGCATGACGGGGGGGCGGCCAGACCCTGACATTGGATCATGCACAGCTCTCGTCGCCCTACAGCGGTTTCTCTCGGACAAGAACATATATTCTCTTGCACAGGGTGTCTAGAGCTCCGACCACTCTGTTCCGCGTCGCACACCCCCACCCCCGCGCGCCCAGCGCCAGAGTGGGACCCCCGCGCTGTGGCTCTCTGCCCCGAGCCCCCCCGCGTCCCCAGCGCCCCAGCGGGAGCCCCGCCCACTGCCCCCTCCGCCACGAACGCTTTATTCCGCGTCGCACACACACACACACACACACACACACACACACACACACACACACACACACACACACACACACACACACACACACACACACACACACACACGCGTCCCCAGCGCCAGAGTGGGACCTCCGCGCCGTGGCTCTCTGCCGCGAGCCCCCCGCGTCCTCAGCGCCCTAGCGGGAGCCCCGCTTTCTGCTTCCCCCGCCGCGAACGCTTCATTCAGCGTCGCGACGCACACCACCTCCCCCACCTCCCTCCCCGCGCCCCCAGCGCCCCAGTGGGGGCTCCGCCCCGTGCCCCATCCGCCCCGACAATATTATCCCGCAGCGCCCCAGTTGGACCCCCGCCCCGTGGCCCTCTGCCCCAAGCCCCGCCCAGCGCCCCCCGACCATTTTATTCCGCGTCGCGACGCACACCACCTCCCCCCCCTCCTCTCCGCGCCCCCAGCGCCCCAGTGGGACCTCCGCCCCGTGCCCCCTCCGCTCCGAGCACTTCCTTCCGCGTCGCGACGCACACCACCTCCCTCCCCTCCCCACCTCGGATTTGGGCCCCGTTGCTGGGCCCCGAGGGGCGATGTCTTGCCCCCTTGTCCCCCCTCGTCCTCCGCCTCCCCCTTCCTTTCTGTGCAAGAGCCATGGCACACGTGCCACTAGATTCGTCAGCGACCCCGTAGGCCTGAACGACTCAGTTAAACCGAGCCACTCTGGATGGCTTGTCTGAGAGTAAGGTGCAGGCCTTGCTGCCGCCGCCGTCTCACGGGCCAGCATACGCGCCTGGAGCCAGCTTTCTTGGAATCGGTATCGAACCAGAGACTGGCGCGGGCAGGCTGACGTCACGGGGCGGGGGCTGCTGAGCAGCAAAACAAAAAAAAACTAACCCCTCGCCTCGAACTCTCACTCACCGTGGAGTTGGGATCACGGTAGTGAGGATACAAGCCGGAATACATTCTGCGCAAAATCGTGTGGGCGCCCGACAGATGTCGTTGTGGGCGCTCTTTACCGAACATATGACACCGCGTGGGGGAGTACGCTCCACACGTGGTGCAGAAGAAGAGAGGCAGTTACTGCTCTCCCTTATCGACGATACAGTGGGCCAGAGAGTGCCCCAGGGAGCGGTCCAAAACACCCCTCCAGGTCTTATTGGGGCCCTTCCATCCTAACATGGGTCGCGCCGAGACATCCGAAGAGAGCTGAAAGCAATGCAAGCAACGCGCACGCCCAAGGCCTAATTCCTGCCAAGCGTGCCAACCACTTGATTTCAAAAACTTAGCGTTCGGACCCGACGGGGCGCGATCACACTTCTCGGGGGGAAAGGCGGCCAGGACGGTCCCAGCGACTTTCGCCGCAAAAATCAACAAATCACACTTCCTGCTCACCTTCTTAAACTCCTGTACACTGGGTTGGGGATGGAGAAGGAGAGCCTGCTTGGCCCAGACGTCCGCATTCCAGTTACCTACGCCAATACGTCTCTCGGGATCGGGTAGGGCGTGAGGACAACACGACTGCGGTGGGCTGGGGTATGATGAGCCGTCGGGATAGGCTCCATTTCGTGCAGCAACGCTCCACGACGAAGGTCCGCATAACGATGTTTGCGAAACACTTGAAACTGCTTGGAGGCCTGGCACAGCCGCGCGACATTCATGCTGTCGGAGTGCCGATCTCCACCTCTCGGCTGGTACAGCGGGAGGAGCGCCATACAGAGGTGTTCAGCAGCTTGAGAGGTCTGGGGAAGAACATCATACACTGTACCTTTAGCATGCGCGATAACCGTGTCCCCAGGGCCCAGGAACACCAAAGAGTAGGCAGCCCTAGAGAGTTCCCAAATCATGTGGCGATGAGCCGAACCATCCATAACCACATACATTTTCAGATTCCGCGCGGTTTTCTTCCATCGCCGTTGGGGCCCCTCTAGCGGCGCTTCCGGCGCCGCCCGTGACGCATTCCGCACGCCAGATCCATCGCCGATCCAGAAAGTCCGCGCGAATCTCCGAAAGTTAATGTCTGTGCCGTTTTTCGTTCATCCGCACATCCTGCCCACGGGGCACCCCTGCATGCACAGTCGAGGGCCCCCCCTGACGACGACGACGACGACGACGACGACGACGACGACGACGACGACGACGACGAGGACGACGAGGACGAGGACGAGGTCGACGACGACGACGGCGACGACGACGACGACGACGACGGCGTCAACCGACGCCCCCCGACCCCTCGCAGGAGCCTGGGCCTCCGCGGCCTCCGCCGCGTGCCGCGGCGGCGCCGTCCGGGCGCTGCGCCGCCTCGTGGGCGGGGCCGGAGCAGGCCGGCCGCCCCGATCGCGGCCGGTCGATGCGCGCGGATGCCGCTCCTGGGAGGTTCCAGCAGTGGCAGAGCGCCCTGGCTGGCCTAACGATAGTCGCGGGCGATGTTTCTCCCCCAATCCCCGAGTTTCGCCCGAAAAGTTTGGCCGCTCAGAAAAACGAGAAAACCCTGGGATACACCCCAAGGGGGCAATTTGGACGCACCCCTATCGAGGATGGACACCCCCCCATCGTATATCCCAGGGTTGGCACCAAATTTTTGGTCCATTCGGAAACCCCACGAAGCCTGAGATAGGGGTCGACATATCCCCTGTTAGATAGGCCCACCAGGGAATGTTCTAAGAACAGTGGGTGGTGTGCACAAGATATTCCTAGAACGTGTCAGACTGAGGCCGTCTTGCGTGAACACCGCGGGCGGATATTCTAAGAACATTGTTTTCTTTTTCGAGCATTTTGGGGGTTACGAAGACATGTCGTGGTAGGCCTATAGGAATGCCCGGACGGTCGGCCTGCTCAGGACGTGAAATTCCGCATCGGCGCTGGTATACAAGGGATGCTCATGCCAAGAATCGAGGAAGAAGAATCGCCAGAGACGTAAATTGTTGGTGCTCCGCGCGGATTTCTTGGATCCCCGCTGGACCCCCCTTGGCGGCGCCTCTGGCGCCGCTCATGGCGCGCTCCGCGCGCCAGGGAGGGGGGTCCGGCGCAGATCCAAGAAATCCGTGCGGAGCGCCAGCAGTTTATGTTTATGGCGCATTTGTTTCCCACCCCTCCTGCGTTGGGCACTCGTTTTGAATAGAGCACTGCGGTCGCACACCTTCCTTCCTTCCTTCCCTCCCGCCTCCTTCCCCCTCTCATCTGCCCTCCTGCCTCTTGCCTCGCTCCTTCCTGCGTGCCAGCTTGCCGCCTGCCTGGTCATCTCTGTGGGGCTGCGATCTGCAAAATTGTCGCCACTTTCGAAGGCTGCTGTGGGGGGTCCGGCGGAGTGACGTTCTATCCGGATTCCAATGAGACCTCGCCATCCCTCGGGGGTTGCGATCTGCCAAATTGGCGCCACTTTCGAGGGCGGCTGGGGGGTCCAGCGGAGTGACGTCCTACCAAGATTCCAATAAGACCTCGCCATCCCTGGAGGGCTGCGATCTGCGCAATTGGCGCCCCTTTCGAGGGCTGCTGGGGGGTCCAGCGGAGTGACGTTCTATCCGGATTCCAATGAGACCTCGCCATCCCTTGGGGGCTGCGATCTGCGAAACTGGCGCCACTTTCGAGGGCGGCCGGGGGTCCAGCGGAGTGACGTCCTACCTGGATTCCAATGAGACCTCGCCATCCCTGGGGGGCTGCGATCTGCGCAATTGGCGCCACTTTCGAGGGCTACTGGAGGGTCCGGCGGAGTGACGTCCTACACGGATTCCAATGAGACCTCGCCATCCCTGGGGGGCTGCGATCTGCGCAATTGTCGCCACTTTCGAGAGCGGCCGGGGGGTCCAGCGGAGTGACGTCCTACACGGATTCAAATCGGACCTCGCCATCCCTTGGGGGCTGCGATCTGCAAAATTGGCGCCACTTTCAAAGGTTGTGGTGGGGTCCAGCGGAGTGACGTCTTACGCGGACCACAGGCGGCCTCGCCATCCCTGGGGGGCCGCGATCTGCGCAATTGTCGCCACTTTCGAGGGCGGCCGGGGGGTCCAGCGGAGCGACGTCTTAATTACCCAGATTCCAATGAGACCTCGCCATCCCTTGGGGGCTGCGATCTGCAAAACTGTCGCCACTTTCGAAGGTTTCTAGAGGGCCCAACGGAGTGACGTCTTACGCGGACCACCAGGAGACCTCTCCATCTGTGGAGGTCCGCGATCTGCAAAATTGTTGCCACTTTTGAGGGCTGCTGGGGTGCTGGGGGGTCCAGCGGAGTGACGTCTTACGCGGACCACCAGGAGATCTCGCCATCCCTGGGGGTCCAGCGCAGTGACGCCTTTTTCCCTACCTAGGCTCTGCCTAGAAGGGTTCTTACTCTCTTAGCTTAAAGGGGCGGGCAGAGCAAAGCGCCCCGGACGGTTCCCCCAGTCCCCGCCCCGCGGTTCCCCCAGTCCCCTGGGAGCTTTAGCTTTAGCTTTAGCTTTAGTTTTAGCTTAGCTTTAACTTAGCTTTAGCTCAGCATTGGCTTAGCTTTAGCTTAGCTTTAGCTTAGCTTTAGTTTTAGCTTAGCTTTAGCTTGATCTTAGCTTAGCTTTAGCTAAGATTCAGCTTTGTTTCAGCTTAGCTTCAGCTTAGCTTTACCTTAGCTTTAGCTTAACTTCAGCTTCCCTTCAGCTTAGCTTTCGCTTAGCTTTAGCTTAGCTTTAGTTTAGCTTCAGCTTAGCTTCAGCTTAGCTTCAGCTTTAGCTTAGCTTTAGCTTAGCTTTAGCTTAGCTTTAGCTTAGCCTTAGCTTAGCTTTAGCTTAGCTTTACTGTTACTGCGAATGCTGCTTTCCTAGGGGCTCCAACTCTTAGGTAGGGTCGCACTGGGATAATTCTTTTACTTGGGCAACGACCGTGGACAACCTCCTGATGATACGCGTCCCTGGCGTGGATTTTCTGGCCCGCGGGCCGCCCGTAGCCATGGCGGCGCGCTTTCGAGCGTTAGTTCCCGCACTGAAGAATGCAAGAAGGAAGCAGAGAAGTTGGCGGGCGAGCCAGGCCTCGCTCGTTTTTTCACCAGGTCTCAGCAAGTGTAATCATTTTCTCGAGCGCTGCGGCGACATGGCGCAGGCAACGCTGCATCTTCAGCGTACGACCGACAAAAGCAACACTTCGGTCTCCTCCCGTCACTTTCGTCGTCGTCCCCTGCCCCCTGTCACCTTCCCCCTGCTGCTTCCGCGTTGACGGTTCGGCCCTTCACGCGTCCTTTTCCTGCTCTTCGTTCCCGCCCCATGTCCTCAAGCCTGAGCCCTCGCGCCTCGTCCTTATGTTGTTGATTTGGGAAGCGTGCCGCGCGAACGCATCCCATGTAGCTTCCACAACATAGAACGGCGCCTGCGCTGTCTTTGTCCTGGCAAGTTTGGACCAACTCCTCTTGCCACTTGATGCAAATGGGCTGGGTGCGTCACAGGGTAATGTTATTCTAAGTGTCCTTTTTGGTATACATTGGGAACCCATGCCAAGAAACACCCGGATTGCATCGGTAACCTCCAGGGTGCACTGGGTTTCTTGGGTTTCGATTGTTTTGCGATTGTAGAGGGAAGCAATTCGTGGAACCCCCCTTCCGTCCCCAAAAACTCAAATGTCCCACGCGCGGGGAAGACTGCGATTGAAGGGCAGTACGTTCAACCCATTTCCAACATTGATCATGGGGGTAGTGACAGATGAATGCGACTTCCGTTTTCGCTGATTTCGTCAGAACTTGTGGGGAGGGCAGACAGATGAATGCGGCACCAATGTGGCTCAAGGCTCAAGGGCGGCGGCGCGCCTCGTCCACGCACACACACACACCCACCCACCCACCCACCCGGCGCGCGCCATGTCCCGCCGCCGCCGATGCGGTGCCGCCTGTGCTTGGCCCAGGGAGCGGATGGCCAGGCCGAGCCGGGTGGGGAGGTATGCCGCGAGCACCGGGCGTTGCAGGCCCTGCAGGTCGCCACAGCTGCTGACGGGGGTCCAGCGGCTGCTGCCCCACCGGGTGAGGGTGCGCCCCTGCAGAGTGTTGGGTCTGGCGGAGGAGGAGGTGGGCGCGGGCCGCTGCAGAGAGCTCCAGGGGACGTGCCGAACCGGTTCGGCCTTCAGCGGGGGCCACGCCCTGCGCCAGGGGAACCCTACGGCGAGGCAGACCCCGTGCAAGTGCGGAGTACCTTCATCGACGTCGCCGACGATCGGCGCCCGCGGAGGCAGCTGCGGCGTAACCTTACAGTTGGAGACGAGCCGCACATCGTGGCGGGCGCCGACAGTGAAGGCGACGGCGTCGTCGCCGGCGCCGACGCCGCAGGGCTGGACCTGCGCCTCGAGGAGATGCAGCTTGACACCGACAGCCTCATGGAACAGGACGCGGGGATCCCACTCCCAGAGCTGCGGCGAGCGCCTGCGCGGGTCGAGGGCCCGCCACCGCCGCCGCCGCCTGCGGCCAGTGCCGGCGCGCCTTCGGGTCCGGGCGAGGCAGCCGCTTCGGGGGCGGGCAGCCGCGCAAGGGCTCCCGGTGACAACGCGGCTGGTGGCCCGCCGCGCCCGCCTCTGGCTACTCCCGCGGCGCCGGAGGCAGAGCCTTCACCCGGGCCGTTTGCTGGTGGAGATTGCGCCTGCCCCTGGTGCGCCGACGCCCGCTTCAACACCGCCGCAGGTTTCACGAGGCACGTCACGACCTGCCGCGAGGGCACGTCCATCGACCAGCCCATGCTCACCGTCCTTCGCGGCCTCGAGCGTGCTGTGTGCATCGGCCCGGGGTGCGAATGCATTCGCCGCGTAGGCACTCGGCAGTGCCACCGGCGTGCAGGCTCGCATGCCGTGCGGCCCCTGGCGATCGGAGACACAGTCCCAGGAGGGCGGGGGGTGCCGCTCAGAGCTGCCCGGGCCGCCGTGCAACCTCCTCCATCGGCCGAGCCCACTGCCGATCATATCGGTGATGTGCTCCTGCCGGAGGGCTTCCCCCACCGCGTCCGGAGGATACCACCGTCCACTTTGGTGCACTTCCCGGTCGCTTGCCGCGAGCGGGCCGCTGTTATCACAGAGGAGTGCTGGGCCGGCATGGCGGCGGGCAAGCCCGGCTGGTCTGCTTTGGGGGAGGGCCGGTCCAAGCTCCTCCTGGCTGCCATCCCCCAGGGCACTCACATCAATGGGGAGGTCGCCCATCGCATCGAACTATTCCGGACGCGTGCCTTCGGCGATTTGCGCAACCGCGTGGAGATGCAGGTTGCGAGTGCACGCGGAGGTGGGCGCCGCCGGAGGCGCGAGACGCCTGGCGAGGAGGCCCAAGACAGGGGAAAAGCACAGGCCATTAGGCAGGCAGCGAAGGGCGCCTACCGGAAGGCGGTGGGCACCATG